ATATATATATATATATGTATATATATGTATATATATATATGTATATATATATATATATATGTATATATATATATATATATATGCACTTTCAATTTTAATAATTATTCCCCATCCCTGCCAGCCAGCAAGTTATCAATATTTTAAGTTCTTTTTGTCAGTCTGATGGGTGTAAAGTGATATTTCATCACAACTTTTATTTTTTAAATTTTTATTTCCCTGACTACCAGTGAATTTAAGCATCTAGTCACTCTTTTTTAGGAAAGGGGGTCACTGGACTTGCTCTTCTATGAACTGACTAATTTTTAGTTTCTTTTTAACCAGGTGACTATCTCACCAATTCTGCCTGTAAAGAAGGATAACGTTCCATGTATTACATTTAAGAGCACAGGCTCTGGAGTCAGACTGCCCATGTTCAAAGCTCTACCACAGTCCAGCTGTGACCTTGAGCAAATGACTTCAGCATCTCCACCTGTAAAATGGGGATTATAACAGTGCTTACACCACCTCACAGTGTTGTCTGTCAGGATTAAATGGGTTAATTCATATCAAACATTTTGAACTATGTATAGCACACATAAGTGCTTAGTAACTGCTAACTATATTTAATATTATTGACCTATTTGAACAGCTTTCATTTACATTATTTCTTTTTCATATAATTATTTCAGGAAATCAGATGAAGATATGTGGCTAGGGAGGAACCTGCACGTGAGCTCAATGTAACCATCATTTTTATTAGGAAAAAACAAAGTCTGGGTGCCCTCCTCTATCTTTACTGAAAGTATTGCTAGTGGAGATATTTTATCCCATTGATAGTTTTGTCTTTGTTTTTTTGTGCGACTGGCCTGTATGGGGATCTGAACCCCTGACTTTGATGTTATCGGCACCATGCTCAAACCAGGTGAGCTAAATGGCTAGTCTCCATGAAGTTTTGAAACAAAAAACCTAACAACTCTGCACTCTCTCCACAGCCATGTCTTGCCTTTCTCCTTCAAGTGTAGCTTTGGATTTTGCTCATTCATATAAATCTTCTATTTGCTTTACTAAACTCTCTGTGCACTTTGCCTGAAAAAATAATGACTAAATTAATATTGGTGGCAAATTCTGCAGTAATATCCACTCTCCCACTCAGCTATCTCCTCAGGTGACCAGCTGTAGGGTCATGAAAGACAGGATGGAGTAGATCTCAGGAAATGGCAACTATGAGGACAGCTAAATGGTAGGTATCATAAGATAGTCTTAGTGGAAATAGCACAGATCTGCACTGAGACTCATGAACCTTGGGAATGATTCAAGCAGGAGGTAAAGCCTCATTCTTTCTTTAAAAGTAGAAAAGTGGGCAAAACAGGAGAGTTGCCTCAAATAGGAAATGGCTCATTGCTAAACTCAGAGATGAGACGGGTGAAATAGATACTAATAACCTCACAGGACAGAGGTGAAGTTTAAGGAGGTAGAAGTTAGGGCAGTGAATTTCAGTGGGGGTGGGGATACAGTGGTGGGGGGTGACCAGAGAAGACAAGGTACACGACTCCCTAGATTGGCGTGTGTCTAGTTTAAAAACACATATTCAACATTAAATGAAAACAAAAAGCTAAATCTTCATCATACAAGCTCAAGAAACACCACTTACACAATCTTCTTGGCTGGTGGCAATACGAAAAAGATGATT